GACTTTAATTAGAGATATGTAATTGGTTTTAATATTTTATTATTTTTCATTTGGTGATTAATTACAAAAGAAAAATTCATTGAACATTTGACTAGTTGTTTGGTTGCTAGTTAGAGTTATACAAGAATTAGTTATTTATGTATTCTTTTTAATAATTTGAACATGTATTCGTTATGTGCAATTCTTAATTGCTAACTATACATCATATGTGGTGTGTTAAAATTTAGGTATAATACATAAACATGTCTTTTACTTGACTTCTGATAGCATCTATGTCCTCCAACTTTGGCGTGCATAAGTAGGAACTTTTACTTGTATAAAGTTGAATAAATAGACACATGTGTTTTACATGAGATCCTACATGGTAATCTGTTTCCTTCGTGTATTATTCCATGCACGACCAAAATTGGAGTGCATAGATGTCAGTAGAAACGAAAGTAAATGACACATTTATATATGGCATGACATGATACATAAAGGCATAACACATAAATACACTATTTAACTTGACTTCATTTGACATTTATACCCTCCAACTTTGGTATGCACAAGTAGACACTATAAAACTGAACAAATAGACACATTCGTCCTACATGGCATAATGCATTTAGGACGCCACGTAGGACACAAATTTTCTATGTAGGACGTCACGTAAGACGAATGTATCTATTTGTTCAATCTTATACAAGTGTAAGTGTCTACTTATGCACACTCAAAGTTAGAGAACATAGATGTTAGATGAAACCAAATTGAATGGCAAATTTATGTATTATGTCATACACAAATAAACCCTTTAACTTGACTTCAACTGACATTTATACCCTCCAACTTTGAGTGTATACAAGTAGCCACTTGCATAAAATGGAACAAGTAGACACACACGTACGTCCTACGTGAAATAATACATGTAGGACGCCATGTAGGACGAATGTGTCTATTTGTTCAATTTTCTATAAGTTCAAGTGTCTACTTATTGACACTCAAGGTTGGGGGACATAAATGTCAGTTGAAGCCAAGCTAAATGACACATTTATAAATTATGCCGGTTTCAAAAGTATTGCCCAACAAAATACTGGAATTTTTTTTTTAAAATCTGAAAAATGGTTGCTTCATACCAAACAGACCCTTAGATTATTATATTTAGTTGGTTTAGTTAGGGTCAGAGATGTGGTTGCTGCTATATATAATCATCAATTGTACCCAAAATATATATTTTTTCACCAATAACCCTTAAGCTTTTATTTTAAATATAAAAATAAAATAAAATTTTGGAATTATGGATGACTAAATAGACATTAATCTTTCTTTCTCAATTAAACAGCTAGCCAAACAAGACAACAAGGGAAATTAGAAAATAGAAATTTTAAAATTTTATTGTTACGTTTTCAACCAATAATTTTATATCCCAACAACAAAAGTATATGAAGTAATAAGATATTAACATTAAAAAGAAAAAAAATCTTGCTTCTGTTTGGGTCAACATAACACGTGAGATATTAACATTATAAAACAGATAAATTTATGTTTTTTTATTAATAAACATGTTTATGGTGGGCATTATATATCTTTTTTATAAATCATTTGGAACCGCTAACATAGACAAATTGTCATGTTGTTTATTTAGATTCTAGATGGCCGATCATTGTTGATTTTCATTACTATGCAAATACCAATATTAAATCAAATAGATTCACTCGGTAAAAACAATTTTTTAGCGGTAATAAATATACACTTTTAATACTAAATTGACTGACATTGGTTAATTGTCATTAAATCTAATGTTGGTATAGGTTTAGGAATATTTACAAAGAGTACTAATTACTTTAGCGACAATTAAATTATTATTATTAATTAATTGC